TCAGCTTATTCGATCGGTCATAGCAGTATATCAAATTTTTGGTGCTCTGTTTTTCGACTTCTAACACGTTGCTTAGAATCCATTGAGAAAATGTGCTCGGTATTTTGTGGTCTCGATCACCCCCACACATCAGCACTAAAACACGTTGCCCCCAACAAACACTAATGGACTTTCTTGTTTCGGCCCAATTGTATATTTCCATTTTTTTTTGTTTTCATTATATTTCGAAAAGCAGAGAAAATCTTGTCGGTTTTGTCCGGCAAATAAAAACGTAAGAGAATGGTTCGTCTTCCTCGGTGACCGGAAAAACGCTTTAGCAACCGTAAAATTACTTACTTTTCTTCTGAAAAATCCAATCTTTCTTACGGAATCTCATTCGGTAATCTCCACTTTACTTTTACGAACAAGTATTAATTTATTTTGGGGTTTTTGTTCTTAGCTGGGTTTCTCCTTTTTTCTTGTCCTTGAGCTGAATTTGTTATCATTTGATCCGGAGATCTTTAAGTTTCATCTCTTAAAGTTTATGTCTTTTTATTTGGATTTCTCTTCTTATGCCAGTATAAAGCTTCAAACTTTCTGTTCTATAATTAAAGCTTCAAACTTTCGTTATTGTTTTAAATTGGAGAAGTTTAGAAATGGATATTTTGAGCCTCACATTGATGGGTTTTGCTTGTTAAGTGTTTTATCCCCAAAAAGTTTACATTTTTTTTTTACTTTTGGATTTTGTTTTTGCAGGGTTGTTGTAGTCATGGCTGAAAGAGAGATATTGGTGTTGTGTTACTTGAATGGTTGTGTCAAGTATGGATCTGATGGTGTTTACTATGAAGGATCAATTCCTAAAAAGATGAGAGTTAAGCAAAAGACTAAGTTAAGCAGATTTTTGGATGGGCTTCATTTCATTACAAGATTCGATAAGAAGAGATTTAAGTTTGAATTGTTCGGTAGGTACCCCTTTCGCTGTTTCACCCAATCTCTTTATGTATTTACATCTTCCCATGGTGAGCGACACTGATTTGGAGACTATGCTTGATGTTCCTAGCAATCATCCATCTATAAACAGTGTGGAGTTTTATTTGGAAGCTAAACCAACAACTACTGATGTTATTGATCCTGTTGCTTGTTCATTGGCGTTGGAAAGTTCCAGTAGCTCTTCGAAAAGACCAATGATTCAACAGATTCCCTCTTGTCAACAAGCTACTGGTTATATAGCTTTGAATGGGAGTCATGTGATGCATCCACCTGTTAAAATAGAGTTGGATATTCAGGGAGTGGATAACAACAACGGGTGGATTAAAGATGAGCCATATTCTGAGTTTGGAAACGGTAGCACTGATGGAAGTGGAAATGGAGATATGTCGGATAAAATCTCAGGTCCAGATGGGGTGGCTCGGGTGGTTAACTTGACAGGGGATAATCGTTATGGAGACTAGGATCAGAGTTTCAGAGTACTGCCTAAATTAATGGTTGTGTTTCACTCATCTAATGGGCTAGTTGTGGACTGGCAATATGATAGTTTTGCTAACCCTGAATTTGCGTCTTTCCGAGGCGTGTTTTGGGCATTTTCACAGTACATTGAAGGGTTTAAACACTGTAAACCTCTGATAGTATTGGACACCAAAGACTTGAATGGTAAGTACCCTATGAAATTGATGATTGCCTCGGGAGTTGACGCTGAAGATTACTATTTCCCGCTTGCATTTGCGGATACTAAAGAACTGTCCGTTGATAGTTGGCGTTGGTTTCTCACTGGAATCAGAGAGAAGGCAACACAAAGGAAAGACCTTTGCCTCATCTCCAGTCCCCACCCGGACTAACTCGCTGTTACTAATGAATCTGACTCTTTGTGGAAAGAACCCTGGGCTTACCACAGGTTCTGTTTTGATCACCTGTGCGATCCAAATTCTATGGCGTGTTCCAAAACTGCCGCCTTAAGAGCCTTGTGAAACAAGCTGGATCCACGAAGCAGTGAGATGAGTTTGATTCCCACATGGAGACTACTAAAAAAGAGAATCCAGAAGCTCGTAGATGGTTAGACAAAATACCTTCACATCAGTGGGCTCTTGCTCATGACGATGGTCGGAGATACGAAATCATGACAATAATGAGAGATCATTTTTTTGAGAGCTTTTGGTCTCTTGGTCTGCCAGTGACAGCGGCGGTGCTGCTTCTGTTTGATGAGCTGGGATTACAGTCTCGTCAGGGTATTTGTGATAGCCGTGGTAGGCTTAACTGCGGAGAAATGTACACTAAACCTGTCATGGACAAGTTTGAAGAGTTCAGGACAGGTTCCGTTACTTACATTATCATGCCATTAGACGATAATGCGTTTCAAGTCACACAGCCGTTGCAAAAGAATGGATGGATTGTTCAGTTGAAGGACTCAAGCTGTACTTGCGGGGGGTTTCAAGTAAACAAGTGAATCTTTTGCAGTTTGTAGATGACTGTTACTCTGTTGAAGAGTTAAACAGAACTTACGCCGCTACTTTCAATTCTATTCCGGAAATATCAGCTTGGCAAGAAACTTCCGGAGTTCCAACAATGTTCCCTCCGGTCATTCCGCCACTACGGCCTCCAACTAACGTTTCAGGCAAGTATAAACAGAAAACTACTCCTCGCACTATTTTAAAGAAGAAGAGCTCAATATTTCTCTAGTTTCTTTAGACAATTTGGAAATAGGACTACACCGGTTCGGGTTATAGTTTTGTACTGAAAACATGCGGTGTTACTATTTTCGTATGTGAAACACAATCGGTTCGTTAACTGTTGTCTATCCCCTGAACCTTAAATAAAAACAAAACTAAATTACAATGATTATTACCGTTCAAGAAACAAATTAAGGACCGATGATTAACATGTCGTTTTGTTTTCTATAACAAAGTGATTTGTAATACTTATTAACTCTTAATTCAGTATGTACCTCAAGTATTAATAAAAATATATATATTTTCAAATATGATAGATTTACATTATCTCATGCAAGCATTACAATGATGA